TTTCGTTCGCTTTATTTCCTTCCCTTTTCCCCCCTTTGGATTTCATTCTTTTTACTTTCCTTATTCCTACCGGGGTCTTTTTGTCGTTTAATTCGATTTTTTCCTTTAAAATTTTCTTTTTTATATTTTCCCTGCTGTTTTGCCCGTGCTGTTCCGGTTATTTCAGGGACGGGCCCAGGCCGCGGCAGGCTCGGACATCCAGCGGCCGCTCCAGCCCAAGGCCTTGAACTCCCGGTGTCCGCCAGAGCCTAAACCGGGCACCCCGCGCCTCTACCGGGCTCTACCCGGTGCCCGGGCCGTACCCAGACCCCTGCGGACCCCCCAACCCGTGGCGGTGCCCGGTACCGGGCCGTGGGTGCGGCGGAGCGCAGGGGGCTACGAAATCTCGGGGCTGCTTTTGCTTAAATTGAATTTATTTCTTTTGTAATCCGCCGCCGTTAGAACCGTTCCGATTCCAGGCAGCACCGGGAACGGGGGCGGCCACCCCCGGGGAAGAACCGCGGCCGCCGCCGCCGCTTTTTCCGCCCGGTTTTACCCCGGTGCGGCGACGGCGGCGGAACGGAGCCCCCCGAGACGGGGGAGACCCCCGGGACAGCCCCGCACACACCGGCGCTGCCAGCTGGGAACCGGGAGCCGCCCCGCTCGGTGCCGGTGCCGGTGCTCGGGAGCGGCTGTGCCGGATCAGGGAATTTCGGGGGTCTCCCGCGGCGGCACTGGGGGAACCCCGGTAGCAGCGGGGACTCCCCCGGTAGCTGCGGGGCAGCGGGACCGGAGCTCCCCGACCCCCGCCCGGCCCGGGGAGGGGCAGCGCCCACCGGGGCCGGGGGATTTCTTTTTTTTTGTTGCCACCTCTGGCGGCGCTGGCCGGGCTGGGCGGGGGTCCCTAGGGTGAGCCCCCCGAGAAGGAACCGGGAAGCGGAGCCGCCGCTCTCGGAGCCGGGCAGCGGCCGCCGAGGGGGCTCTTTGTTTACCAATCGGTGTCACAGACCGGGAGGGCAGGAAATTGCGTCTGTACCGAGCCGTTAATTTAAAATCGGCTTTTTCCCTCCCCTGCCGCTCTCCCCGCAGCCGCTCCCCGGTGCGGCGGGGGCTCGGCCGCTCGCTCCCCGGGGCCGGCTCCGGCGGCGGCCGCCGGGGGATGCGCAGCGGAGCGCGGCGGCGGGGGAGGGCCGGGCCGGAGGAATAAGGACCCGGCTTCTTCTCCGGTCCCACCCCCGGCCGCTTCCTCCGCAGCTCCCTCCCCTCGGCCTCCCTTTCCCCTCCCGAACCCCCCCACCCCGCCACCCCCGCGTCCCCGCCACCCCCCCTAAAATCATCGCCCCCAATCTCCCGGGATCGATTTCCCCCGCACGCCGATCCCGAGCGCGGCGCGGCGGAGCCCGGCTAAGGCACCGACAGCGGGAGCCGCACCGGTACCGGCGCTCCATGGAAGGGCAGCGGCCGCCGCCGGAGCGCCTGAAGTTTGCCCGGAGCGAGGTGCCGCGGGAGGTGGAGCTGGGGAGGGGGCGCGGTGGTGGTGGTGGCGTTGGGGGGGGGGGGCTCGGCCGCCTGTCAAACTTTGAAACTCCTTTCGCACCCCCCAGCCTCGCAGCCTCTCGGGACGCCCCGACGGCTCCCCGCCACCCCCCGGTACCACCCCCGGCCGGCGGGGCGGGGAGGGGGCCGCGCTTTAAATGCCGGGTGGGAGAGGGCGACAGGCGACAGGCGACAGCCCCCGGCGGTCCCCGGCCATGGGGGTGAGCCGGGGCGCCGAGCCCCGGGGGGGCCGGGGAGGGGCGGGGAGGGGAAGGGGTCTGCGGAGGGTGGGTGGGTGGGGGGGGCTCCCTCCCATCCCCCCCGCCCAGCCTTGCCTCCTCTCTCCCTCTCCCCGCGTCTCTCTCTCTGCCTCCCGATGTTTGATCCCGCCGCGGCGCCCGCAGGGATGAGCGATGGAGGGGCCGAGCCCGGCGGGAGCCCCGTGCTGCTGGCCGAGCCCGCGGCCACCGGGCGGGCCCGGGAGAAGCTGCCGACCCGGGCGGAGCTGGAGAGCGCCCTGCGCGCCGGCGGCGGCGGCGGCGGAACCGCCGGCGGCTTCAAGGACATCCCGGGAACGTCGGCGGTCAGCCCCGGCTCCTCCAAGCAGTGCGCCCCGGACACCGAGAGCCCGTCGGGGACCGGCGAGGCGGATTACTGCCGCCGCATCCTGGTGCGAGGTACGGACGCGCTCCCCGCTCCGCTTCCCCCGCCGGGGGTTCCCCTCCGGCCACGGGGCATCCCCGGCACCGCTTCCAGCGCATCCCGGGCGCTTCCCGGTCGCCACCTCCGGCATCCCGGCCCCGCCGCTTCTGCCCCGGCTGCGCTGAGCGCGGCACGGACCGGGCCCGCTGCCCCAGCCCGGCTCCGCCGGCAGCGCCCCCGGAGCGGGGCCGTGCCCGGCGGGCGGCCGGGAGGGCTCCGGGGGAACGGCCCCGGGGTCACGGAGCCGCCGGGCCGGCGGAGCCCCGCGGGGGACGCGCGGGCGGCGGGAGAGGGGGGACAGCATCAGCTCGGCGTTGGGAGCGATGTCGCAGGAGAAAAGCGTCACGGAGCGGCGGCGGGCGAGGGGGGGTTTATTTATTTTTTTTTTTTTTTTTTACCCTTTATAATGTCACCGGCTCGGCCCCGGCTGGGGCTCGGTGCTGCCCGGACCCGCCGCGTCCCGCACCCCTCATCCCGCCCCGCCGCCCGCGCTCGGTCCCCGCCGGCCCGGGACTCTCCGGGAGCGCTTCTGGCTTGTGGCGAACCCCGAGAAGTTCGGGGCGCCCTGGCGCGGCTGTCGCTGGCGGGCGGGTCCCGAGCGCTCCGCGGCTCCGGCATCCCGGCGATGCTCCGCGTTCCTCCGCCGCTCCTCCGCGGCTGGCGGAGCCCGGAGCGGCTCGGCGGCCGCTCGGCGATCAGGGCCGAGGCCTCCCGGTGCCCAGCGCAGCGCTCGGGCACCGGAGCGGCGGCTCCGTCCTCACCGCCGCGGGAAGGGGGACACCGGAGCCCGGTCCCCGTCCCGTCCCCATCCCGGGCTCGGGCATTCCGCTCACCCGAGCCTCTCTGCCGCTTGTCGCGATGGGCGCCTTTCGCCGACAGCCCGGTTATCCCAGTCGGAACCGGGGACAGCGGCCGAGCAGCGGGCAGCTCTCGGGGCGAGCCCCGGGGTCCCGCCCGTGCTGTCCCCGCGTCCCCGAGGGTCGCCGAGCGGGGCCGTGCCCGGTCCCGCCGGGGTCAGGCTGGGGTCAGGCCTCTCCTCCGTTGGTTTCAGCCCCACCGAGGCCGCCCCGACGGTGCCGGCACCGGGAGAGCGGCGGGGGTCGGTGGCCAAGGCCGGGGCAGGGTCCCCGCGCCCGCCGACCCCGGGGACCCTCACCGGGAGCGCCCGGTTTCACCATCTTGCCGCAGCCGCCACGGTGCGGACAAAATGGTGGCGGGGAGAAAACGCCGCAAATCACCGGGGTTGAGCCGAAACGAAGCGGGGGAAACGTGGAGGAACCAGCCGGGCTGCGGGGACACGGACCCGCCGGTCCCGGTCCCCACCCGCCCCGGCCGCGGTCCCGCAGCCGGGCAGGGCCGGGACCGAGCAGCGGCTGGGCCCGGGCAGAGCCTCCCGGTCGGTTTTGTGCGAAGCGGAAGGTTAAAAATGTTCATTTTTATGTTTTAAAATTTATTTCTTTAAAATAATTTGAGTTTCATCCTCGCTGCTCGCCCCGGGAAAGCTCCGGCCTCGGTGAGGAGCGGCTGCGGCGGAGCTGCCGCCAGCCCCGGTGCTGCCCCGGTGCTTTCGGTGAAGTAGGGGGTCCTGGTGACCCCTCACATCGACGGGGCCTTCTCGGAATCTCGGTCCGCTCGCCGGTCCCGCCGTACCGGGGATGGTCCGTGCGGGACGGAGCCTCCCGGTCGCCTCCCGGTCGCCTCCCGGTCGCCTCCCGGCCATCCCCGCCTCGTCGGGAGTGGCTCCCGGGCATAAAGGGGACATGGAAGGACCTGGGCAGTCCCGGGGCCGGTGTCACCGCGGCCACTGCAGCCCCACGGGGCTGGGGACACATCCCGGTCACCTCCCGGGGCCGGCCCGGCGCTGGGCCCGGTGGCCGAAGGGCACGTGGAGGGACCCCGGTGGCGCTTGGTGCCACCCCATGGCACTGAGGGGACATCCTGGGGGCTGGCAGGGGTGGGGAGGGTGTGCCCCGAAAGGTCCTGACAGCTGGGGTGGGGTGGCAACCCAGGTGGGCATGGGGGTGCCAGTTTGGGGTGTCCCTGTTGCGGTGTGGGGTGTCCCTGTGCCAGCGTGGGGTGTCCCTGTGCCAGTTTTGGGTGTCCCTGTGCCAGTTTGAGGTGTCCCTGTGCCGGTGTGGGGTGTTCCTGTGCCAGTTTGAGGTGTCCCTGTGGCAGTTTGGGGTGTCCCTGTGCCAGTTTGGGGTGTCCCTGTGCCAGTTTGGGGTGTCCCTGTGCCAGTTTGGGGTGTCCCTGTGCCAGTTTGGGGTGTCCCTGTGCCAGTTTTGGGTGTCCCTGTGCCAGTTTTGGGTGTCCCTGTGGCAGCGTGGGGTGTCCCTGTGCCAGTTTTGGGTGTCCCTGTGGCAGCGTGGGGTGTCCCTGTGCCAGTTTGAGGTGTCCCTGTGCCAGCGTGGGGTGTCCCTGTGCCGGTGTGGGGTGTCCCCATGGATTTGGGTGCCCTCTGCACTTTCGGGGCATCTCAGCCCCAGCTGTGTCCTGGCTCCAGAGCCACCAGGTGTACCCCGTCCCCAAGAGGAGGATGTGCCACCAGCGAGGCCCAAGGCTCTGGAACCCTCCAGGCACGACCCGGGAATTTTTAGGGCTCCAGAAAAGGAAAAGATTCTCATCCAGGGCGTTCCAAAGGCTGGAATTGAGGGGGATGAGCACCCCAAAACCTACCCTGGGGAAGGTCAGGAGGGTGGGACGAGGCGTTTGGCGTCCCCTGTGCCGAGCTGGCACCGCGGCCGTGCCCTTTTCCCTGCCGCCCCTCCGGAGCTGCTCCAGCTGCCGGGGGAATAACAATAAATAATGCCCGAGCTGGAGCCGAGGCCGCAGCTGCGGCCCCGGATCCGGCGTTCCCGGCTGTTGTTGTCCCGTGGCCGTGGCGTGGGCACGGACGTGGGCACGGGAGTGCGGACGTGGCCCGGGCATCGTCACGGCCATGGCGCTTCCCACACAAAATGGTTCCTGGCGCTGATCCCGCCGGAAAAGCCGCTGATCCGCCTACAACTCCTTTCCTTCCCGGCAGCTCCGCGCCAGCCTGTGGGGTTTGGGGTGTGGGTCCGGTGCCACCACCCCCTGTGCCACCCTGGGTGTCCCCAAGCCCCTGGGACCCCTTCGGTGCGGCGGTCCGGGATGGCACCTCGGCCGTGTCCCGCGGCTCCACGGTGGGAGAGCGGCTCCGGGATTGGGGTCCCTTTCCCAAATCGGTGTTTGGTCCCCACTGCCATCCCGGTGCTGGATCCACCGCCCTCATCCCAGTTCCTGCGTCCTCATCCCAGTTCCTGCGTCCTCATCCCAGCTCCTGCATCCTCATCCCTGTCATCCGATCCACCATTCCAATCCCAGTGCCGCCATTCCAATCCCAGTGCCACCATTCCCATCCCGGTGCTGGATCCACCACCCTCATCCCAGTTCCTGCGTCCTCATCCCAGCTCCTGCGTCCTCATCCCTGTCGGCCGATCCACCATTCCAATCCCGGTGCCGCCATTCCAATCCCAGTGCCACCGTTCCCATCCCAGCACCCCCATTCCCATCCCGGTGCTGGATCCACCACCGTCATCCCAGCTCCTGCGTCCTCATCCCAGCTCCTGCATCCTCATCCCTGCTCCACCGATCCACCGTTCCAATCCCAGTGCTGCCAGTCCAACTCTGGTGCCACTGTCCCCATCCCAGTGCCACCATTCCCATCCCAGTGCCGCCATTCCCATCCCAGTGCCCCTGTTCCCATCCTAGCACCACCATTCCACTCCCAGTGCCACCATCCCAATCCCACTGCCCCCATTCCCATCCCAACACCCCCATTCCCATCCCAGTGTCACCATTCCAATCCTGGTGCCACCATTCCAATCCCGGTGCCACCATTCCGACCCCGGTGCTTCCATTCCAATCCCAGCATCCCCATTCCCATCCCAATGCCCCCATTCCCATCCCAGCACACCTATTCCCATCCCGGTGCCACCATCCCAATCCCAGTGTCACCGTTCCCATCCTAGTGCCACATTCCTATCCCGGTGCCACCATCCCAATCCCACTGCCCCCATTCTGATCCCAGCACCACCATTCCCATCCAAGCACCACCATTCCAATCTCGCTGCCACCATTCCCATCCCAGCACCACCATTCCCATCCCAGCACCACCATTCCCATCCCAGC